TGAAGGTAGGGCGGGGGGAGCCCCTCCGCCGGGTCTGCCTCGCCACCCCCGCCCCGGCGGCCCCGGGGCGTGTGCTTGGGCTTCCGGCAGCCTGCGCCGTGTAGCGGCGAGCTGCTCCGCGGCCCTCTGCAGTCGCCCTTCCTGCTCAGAGTCGAGGCCCCCTAGGACATGTATCCCGCTAAACCTGGCTTTCATGAGAGAGATGAAATCCTATATATCGGCTGTGCTTTAAGCCGTTTGACTGGTCCTTACGCAGTGTTTAGCTTTGCTAAATGTGGGAATATCAGCATGCTTTTGTAGCACGAAGAGCTCTCTGTACTTCGTGAAATTTGGTGCATGGAGTTGTCCTGGTGGTAGCTTGCAGCTTAACAAACAAAAAAAGTTCATAAACATTTAGTAGTGTGTGTCATTTTTGTTCAGAGCTGTGTGGGGCTAGGCAGTATCCTTATTGGGGGGTGTGATGATGCTGTTTCAGATGTGCTTCAGGCATTTTTTGGATGTCAGTGACTTAGATTGCCAGCAATGCCCCTGGGTACCTAGCTAGAGCCTCTGAAAAACGTAGCCATCTATTTAGCCTTTTAGAGCAAGATGACTTTCAGACTGGGGAAGAAGCTGCTTTCACACTCTGCATAACTCACTTTGAAACGAGTAGGTAGGTAGTTTTGACCTAAACTTAAGTAATACCCATGGATTTTTTGCCCAGCAAGATTGAAGACACCAACAAAACGCAAGTGTTCCCAGATAAGCCACTCATCTTAAAGAGTTGTAATTGCTTAAGTTCGGGCACAGTGTTAAATATACTGTTGTGTATTTGAATTGTAAGTGTGGCTTAGGGACAGAATTGGCATATTTTTCCAAGAGAAAAAGAGGAAAAAAAACAAGTCTGCGCTTCTTGGCTTGGGGGGCTGGTATGAATTCAGTATCCTTTATGTGTTAGAAATGCAGAACATTTTTTATTCTGGGGAATTACTTGGAGAAATTGCTGCTTGTATCTGGACTTTATCGCAGTCTGCCCAAACATTAGTTAGTAGGCAACTAGAGAAAGGGAATTTTTCATGGACAGATCTAGTATCAGCAGAATATCAGGAGAAAGCCAGTACAGATATCATTAGTTTGAAGCAGCACAGTAAACCAGAATTTTCATTTTGTCATTTTGGGTTCATTGTGCCACTGAGTTTTCATTTTGGGTTATTCTTGTGAATGTGAATTTATCTGTAACTCGCCAACTTCAGGAGAAATCAAGATCCCCCTAAAGGGGGATCCTCGTGGGAGTTAATCTAATTATTATTTTCACTGTTTTGTCGTTCTGATTTCTGCAGAACCTGTGACAAATGCTCTAATCTGTTCTGAAGTACTTCTTAATTCCAACAGGATATCATTCATGATCCTGGCCGAGGTGCTCCACTTGCCAAGATTGTGTTCCGTGACCCATACAGGTTTAAGAAAAGAACTGAACTGTTCATTGCTGCTGAGGGTATTCATACTGGTCAGTTTGTTTACTGTGGCAAGAAAGGTGAGTTAAGACTAGAAGTGCTTTGCCCGGGTAGTTTCTGGAAGGCTAAAACACATGTAACCTGAATATGTCAAGTTCAGGATGTTTAAGTAAAGTTGCATGCTGCTACAAAGCAGTGGCTTCTAGTTTTAAGCAAACCTTGGGGATTGACGTCTCCTTATGCAGCCTGTTTGGATTGACAAGCTTAACTGCAGTCTGGTAGTGTTCAGATTGTTCTGTCTGCAGTCACGTTTTGCCTGCCTGTTTGTTATGCTGAAGGTTGAAACTTGTTTTCTTTCAAGTCAAACAGTGAAAAGTGCCCCTTCCTAATGCTATTGAAGTGTTCTTGTGGTACCCTTCTTCTGTGTGCAGAGGCCATGTTGAATAGAAGTGCAGTTTGAGTCCTGTCCAGGAGCCTGAATGAAGCTGTCAGTGCTCTGTGTTTGCTCTTTGCAGCTCAGCTGAACATTGGCAATGTTCTGCCTGTTGGCACCATGCCAGAAGGCACCATCGTCTGCTGCCTTGAGGAGAAACCTGGTGATCGTGGAAAGTTGGCCCGTGCTTCTGGAAACTATGCTACTGTCATCTCTCACAATCCTGAAACGAAGAAAACCAGAGTAAAGCTGCCTTCTGGATCCAAGAAAGTGATTTCTTCTGCAAACAGAGCTGTTGTGGGTAAGCAGTGACAGCTGTGAACTTGCCTTTTCACTTTTTGCATACTGTTAAGTAAACTGTCAGACAGGGTCCCCCTACTATCTAGATAATGGTGCGATTAACAAAGTAATGTTAGACTTCCATTTTCTTAAATGATGTATATAGTTGAACCTTCAACCATATATACTCATATACAGGTGCCTGGCTTGTGCTTTATGCCGGTGTTACATGGGGTAATGGGAACCTTTTAAAATTTGGGGATGCGTTGAGCTAGTGGGAGAAGAGTGGAGTAGATGCTGACAGCCCTCAAACCACAATGGAATTATTCAGGCTGTAAAATCTGCAGTCCTCTGGGAAAAAGCTATGCAGAAAACAGCATAATAGTGTATCAAGAGCAGGGGATGAAGTCTGTGGGACTAGTGCTAAAGGTGTTCAGCTGCTGTAGGTGTCATCAGTTGGATGAAGTATACTGGAAGGCCTGACTGAATGAATAGAAGAAATCCCATTGTTAAGAAACAGGTTTAATCAGGTTTGTTGGTCCCTTGGCTGACAGTGGAGTGACAGATGCTGTATTTCAGCAAGTGAAACTTGGATATAGTCCTGGGCAAGCGTTAAAATAAAGTGCTAGGTTAGGAAGAATTGTTGCTGGGCTTAAGCGGTTACATCTGTATTGACAGACACAACAGCAGCCAGTGTCCCTGCCTGTGAACAGAAGGCATCAAAATGAATAACAACTAGTCAACTCTACAAGAGTAATAGATTACAGTACTCAAGACCTAAAAAGATTAGTTCCTTAAGGCTTAGTAGCTAGTTAGGTCTTGAGTTACACTTTCTTTAATTGAAAAACTGTGGTTAAATAACTTGTGTTATTCAAGATAGCTTAGCAATAAAATTGATAATGCCTTAGGAATAGTGTTAAACTCAGTCCTGTATGTGTGTACATTGAAAAATTCTAACTAAAGTGTGTCTCCTGCAGATCACTTTGAATATGGGACTAGTAGATGTCCCAAGATGAAGCTTGAGCTTCAGCATTCTGTTAATATTTTGTATGGCCTAGCAGGTGCTGATCTGAATATATAATTGGGATTGTTGAAGACTGGTCTTTAGAGTCCTAGTCTTAGAACTAGAATATCACTTGGAACTAGTCTTGTTCTTAAGCATTTTCTCTTGCATTCTTGTCTGTTGTACTTGCGTGTTACCGTTTCTGCAATTAATTCTAGGTATCGTCGCTGGTGGAGGTCGTATTGACAAGCCTATCCTAAAGGCTGGCCGTGCCTATCATAAATACAAGGCAAAGAGGAACTGCTGGCCACGTGTCCGTGGTGTGGCTATGAATGTGAGTGAATTTTCAATTATGCTTTTCATTTTTCCTTTAACTGTTTATGAAAATACTTGCTGATGTAAAATGGATTTAGAAAAGATATTGGGAGGCATCCACCTAGAAAGCTTCCCAGAAGACTTTGTAATTGCACATTTAATCAGGGTAGTTAACAGCTTCATTTTCATACAATGCAGAAGCTATCAAGTGCTGGTAACAGCAACAGTGCTTTAAGGGAACAAAAATCTTAAGTTTAAACATTAATCATTTCTGTTAGCTGTATTGACTTCTTGATTTCTTTTTCTACAGCCTGTAGAACATCCCTTTGGTGGTGGTAACCACCAGCACATTGGCAAGCCTTCAACCATCAGGAGAGACGCTCCTGCTGGGCGCAAAGTTGGTCTCATCGCTGCCCGTCGTACGGGTAGACTGCGTGGAACAAAGACTGTGCAGGAAAAGGAGAACTAATGACCCAGTATGGAATTTACAGAATAAATTTTTAAAACTTAGCTTGTGTGAAGTTTCTGTTGTTGATGTGTTGCTAAAATTTGGATAATGCTCACCAGGGACAGGTATGATTGGAGATGAGCTGTTTTTCCTCCTTCAACTGGTCAGGTGTTCTTTCAGCCAGTCCTTTCAGTCAGTGAGCTGGAACCTCAGCCTAGCACAGCACCTTGTAGATACTCCTGTGCGGAGAGGGGTGGTGAGGATTTTAGTGTTCACACTAGTCTATTGCTGTAGTTGCTCAGGACTGACACAACATTAGACTTGCCAAGTAATCCTTTAATTACCTGGTTTGATCTGCAAGTCTAGCTGAAATGATTAAAGGTTGTTCACATATATGGAATTTTCTAAGTTGGAGTGTATTCTTAGAATTGTTTTTCTTTGGAGAAAAGGCTTGCAAGTACAGTAGAACTCCTTACGCTGAAAATACTTTTCAATCACTGTTGCATTTGGGACCTAATAAAAGGAAGCCTCCTGACTGAAAGGTTCAAGAAAGTGTTTAGCTACTTGTCAAGATGAATGGATATCCAGCTAAGTAACTAAAGCCTTTATTTAAGGAGCATTAATCATAACTACAGGGATGATGGTACATCAAACTAATCACGTAGTGTAGCCTCAGCCTATTGTCTTCATTATTTGCAATAGAAGTAGAAACCACTTCTTGTATAGCATGGTTGCAGCAGCTGCTAATGTGACTGTTTTGGTGAAAGGTCAAAGATCTTAGCAACCCAAAAGGCGAACGGAGTGTTACTGTATGTAGGGAGGGGAAGTTATGCTGAACTAGCCCAGGGAAAAAGAAGCTTTAGTGCTGGAGTGATGGAACGTTGTTTTCTTTGGTAGAAGTCAATAAATGCTGCTGCATTAATACAGTGGGTAAGAGGTCTATGACAGTTGCATCTCAATCACTTTTCTGGATTTAGCAGAACGGTAGCACTTGCAGATAATTTGTATCTGTAGGCTAGAAGCGGCAGTTAATTTTCATCTTCCCTGGCTTTGAGAGGTATACACAACCATGCAAACGTGTATGTTGCATTTCTTTAAGCACTGCTAATAACAGGTAATGTAAGGAGCGTACAGTTGTGCTCGCATGAAAGAACTGGGCAGTAAGCTTTATGGCTTGAAAATACTGGTTTTAAACAATCCACACTATCTTTTTTTTTTTTTTAGTAAAGAGATGAGTTAAGTGCTATTTGTGAAACTTTGCATTAATTCAAATACAGGTGTAGTGACTTAGCACTGCTTGCTTGTACTCTTAAATATAATCTAGAGAAGTAAGTGGTATGAGATGGCCACTGTTACTTAAGAAGGTTCATCTATTTACAATAACTAAATTATCTGGATTAAACTGGTCAAATGTGCTGGGCAGTAGTAGAGGATGCTTTGGAGGAGGTCGTGCTTTGCACAAGTACAGAATATCCTGTAAACCTTCAAGCTTCAACCACCTCAAAGGTGCTTCTGGTTTGAAGTATTACAAAGTCTGTCACCCTTGCTCTTCAGCACTTGGAAAGGGCAAACAAATCATAACATTCTTCTGAGGTTGTTGAACTGAGTAAGGTTCACGACTGGGTTCATAGTGGTAATAGTAATACAGGTAGTGGAGCTAGTGTTTCACAGCAGGGCGTTGTACTGTTAAGAACAGTTGGCTAATGAAAAGTCAGCCTTCTAGGGGGAAAGGAGAAGATTAAAATTTTTAACTTATTGTAAAAAAGCTTAATTCACAGCCCTGCTGATTTCACCTTTAGAAAAGTAAAACGTGCAACTGTCAGCTCACAATCACGTCCGAGCACTTCTAAAGCAAGAACTTTTATTCAGTGTTCTGCAGTGTCTGGATTTTTTGCTGGACGCATAGACACACTCCTGGCACCTAAGGCACTAAAACAGGACTGCCACTTACAGCACATCTCGGTTAAGACTTGCACTTCTGAAGCCTGGATGTGCAGCTGGGGCTAGCGGTATACACTTGACATGCCTCTCTGAAGGCAGGTAGGGCTGCTGCCCAGGTCTCATGGACTCTGTGCCTGTAGTTCATTGTACCGTTCAGCTATCTTGGCTTCAGCTAGTACAATATCACCCCTGCAAGCCAGTGGTGGAGGGAGGGGGTCATGTCCAGATTTGCCAACAGTGTATCCCATAGTCCATCATCCAATCTGTTTTTACTGTTGTGATTATTCACCCCTGAATTGCTAGAAGTGCTACTCAAATTGACATGGATTCCTCTTAACAGCTAAATGTCCTCAACTATAGCAAGATGACCAGAAGGCATGACAAGTTACACGCAATCCAAAAACTTTTTTGCTCCTCAGAGCAAAATACTCTTTCCTTCAAAATGCAGGGCAGTTCACCTGTGGCAGTCACATAAAGCAATCCTGCTGATCCTCAAGTGCCAAAGCCAGATCTCTGCACATTAGTATGACCTTATACTGACAGGAATCTAGTGGGAAGGAAAGCAAGGAGGAAGAAATGGAGAGAGATTTTTCTAGATCCACCTACAATATTATTACTAGTGTTGGCCATAAATGTCTGGAGAGGAAAAAAGAACTGCAGTAAAAAAAAGCAGCTGAAAAAAAGACATCAAAGCACATTTGGGGAAAAATCTAAAAAGCGATTTGACAAGTGGTGTTTCTTTTTTTTTTATACCACATGATCACTGTTGGTTTATGAAAGTTCATTCTCCTGTGTTCCTGCTGTGAGGTCAGAACCCCTCACTTGCGAGCCCACGTTCTGCTGACGTTGATCTAAATTCCGCATTCCATCTCCCAAATAAAATGGTAAGAAAAAAGCAGTTAAAGTACTTAATGGTCAAATGACTAACTTGACAACAACCAAGTTAGACAGGATTACACAATACTTTTTAATACATTTAAAATTTTCTCCTACCATGAGAGCAGTTCCTTAAGGCTGTTAGTGCAAAGAACTTACAGATAAATTTGCATTAAGCACACCTAAAGAATTGACAGGCGCCACAGTTTCCAGCCATGCTTGCCTTTGCTGAGCCTTAAATCTTGGAGGGAAGCGCTGGATTCTTCCTGACAACACTCTTACCTTCCTCGTTGCCCGTTCCAGGCTCCTGACTGCCCACAGACTGTCAGGAATCCACAGCCAGCAAGTAGAAAAAAAATCAGTGTGCTAAAACAATAGGTATAGAATAATTGCACAAATAAATAAATACCATATTATAGTGCTGAAGGCAGCTGCAGAACCATTTAATGCAAAGATACAGGACGCAATGCTAGATTTCACTTTAAATGCGTACCTGTGAGGATTTTTGAATACTCGAGTCCATTCCCTCTCCAAACTCGGGAACAATCGCTCTTGTCACATCACAGGTAACAAGAAACTGTACTTTAGTAGTAGTTACAAGCCTCCAATTACCTTTTAGCTTGCAACTTAGAGGCCTGAATCTGCACAACACGTTCTAACTGCTCCTTTGGAAAGACTATCTGGAAATCACAACAAACAAAAACCTTTAACCTGCAGGAAAGCCAGGGCTGTGAAAAAAGTCTTTTCTAGACTAGTTGTTTCCAAGAGCCACCCTGCAATTTTGCTAGACAGGGAGTTTATGCCAATCAACAAAAGAATGATTAGATTTTGCTATCTAGCAACACACAAAAGCTTTAGAAGCAAAAAAAGGTAGCAAAGCGGTCCTTGGGGCAGCACACGTTTCAGAACAGCAGGACAGCAATACCCAGACAAGCTGAGCTAGAAGAGCAGACGGAGCCAGAGGTGGAATTTCATGGAAAATGGTGCTTGAAAAAGAACTAGTGGGAAGCCTCACCCCTGCACAAACAAACACACATACACCGAGCAGAGCTGATGGTGATTGCAAGCGTCAGGCTCCAGAAAAATCCCCCCATGTCGCTGGAGCTGAAACCGCACCAGCTCATGACAAAGCTGCAGAAGGCAGCACAAGGGACACTGGCATCAAGGGGAATCTTCGCCTCGGCCATAATGGCTTTGGGCCAAGTCCCTCAGGTCATAACGGAGGGGCGTGAAAAGAGTAGCTTAACGAAACAGTAGCTTCCTACATAGAGACTGTTAAGTGGGCTGGCAGGACAAAATATAAAAGAGCAATATCAGAACTTAATTTCTTCAGAGTGGAAATTATCCTAGAGACATTAGGTCTAGCAACACATAACTTAGATAAAACAAAAACAAAAAAAATCCACAAACACACAGTGACCAGCATCCTCCAAGGGCAAAATATCCCCCAAAACTAGCACGAGGGGAATAAACTTATGAAACAGGGGAAGGAGCACTTAAACAAACAACTTGAACAAACAAACAAACAAACAACTTGAAAATCAAAGGCTCTGAAAAAAGAAATTTAAAATGGGAAGTTATTTTGAAATGAGCTATGTTTTTCCAAACTGAAGGTATAGTTTAAACTGTAGACTAGAGGGTGAGGTAGCAGATTACATGATGGGAGGAAGTTAAGAGAAGTAAGAACGTGAGAAGAATCAAGAATCTACTGAAGAGTTCCCTTTGTGTTACGAAAAAGCTGATCAGCTTTTAGCCTGTGAGAATCCACAAAAGCACTGAAAGAAAAAAGGAAGAAGTGGCTTAAGTTAACATGTTATTGGCATCTGCATGAGCTGGAAGGAGTATCAACCACCTGTGACATGCAGGAGGTTCAAGTACACAGCCTAATGGCTCCTTCTGAATTTATACCGTACAAATCTGAAGTTAAACAAGATATGGAACTGCAGAGAAGCAGAGCACCTTCCTCGAGCACCTTGACTGGAAAGATGAGTAAGGCTGCATTAACACTGTCAAGCAACAAGAATGCTGCACAAACACAGACATACTAAGACAACAAATCTGGTGTATTTAGTTCTGAAGTTCAAAAATTGAACTTCTAGCCATACACAAACTTGTATCAACATCACTTGCTACATCAGATAACTGAAGGGGAGTAAACACCAACTTTTCTCTTCCATAAAGACCTGGGGCCGATGCTGGGCTTTGCAGATGAGTGATTTACTGTACTATGCAATAAACATTAGAA